TGTTATGTAGACACAAGCCATGTTTTGCATTTGGATAGAGATTTAAATGAATTAAAGCTAAAAATTAAAAAGCATGATGCTGCAACATCTGGTCACTTGTTGAAGACCTCACTTTTAAAGTGGTTAAGTTTGCACAATTTGTACTTTTTTCTTTTTTTTTCTTTTTTCTTTTTTTTTTTTTTTTACTAAACAGTATTTTTCCTTCTTTTATAAACCAGAAAAACTAAACTACAGATAAATTTTCCCTACCTTGAGCTAATGCTGCAGATAGGGTTGACAAAGCTGTACAGCGCAATCAAACATACTTACATCTTAGCTCATTGTACAGGTACAGCCATAATCAAGGCACAAAGATCTTCTACAAGTTATTTTTTTTTTTTCAATAAAGTTGTACAAAATAATACATTTTACAGTCTGTACAAGAATAATAATCCAGCAGTAAAATAAAAAATGAGGGGAGGGAAGAAGAAAAAGAGGGAAAGACTGTGAGGACGACAGTCCAGGTAATGATTTTTAGAGCAGACGGGATCATCAGTGGACAAACTGAAACAGTGTGTGGTTAACTCTCTCTGCAATCACAGGCCATACGCAGGTCAACCCGGACACGTCCCTGGGTGTCTTTAGACCACCAAGACTGGTTTTAAAAATACCCTTCGGAAAGGTAGCGGTTGGTGTTTGCACTGTCTAGGTCTGTTGTAGAATTGTCAGTATTTCCGTTCAAAGCCACACGACAGCCAGAGAACCAAACTCAAGAGTCTGTCTTCAACCTCGGTCTGTGACTCGGCACCTTCTTTAGGCGGATGCAGTGAATGATACAAAGTGGAGATCACGGGTTATATGATTATGCCCACAACAGTGCTAAATTATCTAAAGTTTTCTCTCCCCAATTTTTTGTTCTATGTTTTAATTTTTTATTCCCAATTCTTTCAGGTGCTCCACATTCAGGGCTTTTAATCAATTACTTTTTATTTCTTTCTCTTTTTTTTTTCTTTTTTTTTCTATTTTTTTTTCTTTTTTTTTTCCTTTTTTGTTAATAACAGTGTTAGGGATTCCTCATGGAAATGGCCTTTTAAGTGTTAGGGGCCATCTCAAACTGTCCGAGGGGTACAGAAGCAAGCCTAGAAGTGCTGCTATTGTCCAGCAGGGAGAAAAAGTTGAGGGGTGCAAATCAAAGGGAGATTCAAACAGTTCTCTTCCACCCTATGTGGGCAAGGGTGTTTTTTTTCTTTTTTTTTTTTTTTAATAAGGAATAAGGAGTCCGAAACACAGAAAAAAGTGCTCTCCATCACAACAACTCGTATTGGCGAAGGTGCATGCGCTGAATAATGTCCCGACAGTCATTGAAAACCCTCCGGATGTTCTCTGTATCCACTGCACAGGTGAAGTGAGGGTAGCAGTAGTGCCTTCCGTCTCCACTGGCGGTGCTGATTCTCTGTTAAAAAGTCAGAAAGAGGCACTGGGTTAAAGTAAAACCGGCTGGGGAAAAAGAACCCCCCATGCTCTCAACACTCAGAGGAATAGCGAAGGTTAAGGCACGTTACGTACGAGTTGTGTGTTCAAAGGGGTGTAACTAAGTGGTAATACGTCCACAATTTTTCACTCTCCCCTCTAAAACATGGAACTGAAAACGGTCAGAATTACACGGAGAGGAAGCCCCTGCACACTGGGGAATTTCAGAGTGGAACTCAAGAGAGCACTGTTATTTATATGCAGCTTTGGGGAATTTAGCCACAGAGCTCCTAGCCAATTTTTTCTTGAAGAAAGGGAGATACTGCCCCCTTGTACAGGGTTTTATCCTCGCTTCACACTTACAGGAAACCTCCCTCAAAATTTTATTTTGTTCCATTTAAAAATGAGCCCATAATGCTCGTTATTACAAGTAATTGTAGTAATATTTTTTTTTTTTTAAAAATCTATGTCTGGTATAGCTTCAGCTGACCAGTAATGGGAAAGATAATATCAAAAGAACATTCATAATATTTTACAGATGATGCATCTTTTTATCAGTCTTTATCTTTAAAATAACTTGTGGAATAAAGATCTGGGCCCATTAATAACAGCAGGGCTTCATTCATCACTCTATTTGAGGTTCCTTAATTCTCACCGGTTCCTTTGCTACTTACTTACGTACTGTACCCACAAACAGATCTGACAAGCAGCTACCGAACAGCAGGAAAGCTCTTAAACCTAACAGTGGAGTTTTTCCGCAGTGTGGATGTTAAACACAAACACAAATAGCGTAAGCATTTTGCAATAGTGACCAGGGGCAACGGATTTAAACTACAGCAGGGCGGACTCAGACATCAGGAAGACGTTCTTTCCTGGGAGGGTGGTGAGACCCTGGCACAGGCTGCCCAGAGGTGGTGGAGGCTCCGTGTCCGGAGACATTCCAGGTCATTGATGGGGCTCTGAGCAGCCTGAGCTGGTTCAGGATGTCCCTGCTCCCTGCAGGGAGGTTGCACCAGATGACCTTTACAGGTCCCTTCCAGCCCAACACATTCTATGATTCTGTAAGAGCTTATATTGGAGAAGAATCGGGTAAGAAACACGGAAAGAAAGGAAATACTTACAAGAAACTCGTCTCTAATAAAATACTTGGCCCTTGTAACTCTGGGATCCTCACCAGGCTCTGGTATTGCTGATTGATAATAAGATAAGTATCTCATTAAAACAGATGGCTTTTGCTGAGAGTGCCTAAAATTATAATTTCTCTTTAAAGCTCACACAGGATAGAAACTTACTTTGCAAACCTGACTATGAGAAGACAAACTGTAACATATTATTGAACCCAGCAGGATTTTAGGAGAACCAAGGAACTTCCCAGTGGCCGCAGCAGCAGGCACTGGGCAGGTTAGAGAAATGACCACAGGTATGACAGGGGGGATGCAGAGGACCCATTTGTGACAAGCTGTACTGTGGTCTATGCCAAAGTAACAGCATTTTGGCAGGACAAAATTATTAATGTACTAACTGTATAAAAGACAGGATTCTCTCATCATTAATACCTAAAATTTAACGTTACCCTTTGTCTGAAAGACAATGAAGACTGCACTTGCTAAACAGTTGTCAAGTCTTAGCTGAAATTACCAAAAATATTACAAACATGATTAACAAGGAAATGATGAATTGCTAATCAAACTTAAAATTCTTACCATCATCTGGTGTAGTGTAGCGAGCAAATTCTGGAAAGTAGTCTTCAATTTTAGATTTCCCTGCCAAGACTTTCTCTGCTAGCAAATCTTGTTTATTCAGGAAAAGAATTACTGAAATGGTCCGTAGCCACCTGCAGAAGATTGAAAACACTGTAAGACGGCACAGCTAGGATCATACAGCAAAAATAACATTATCCTGGTTCTGGAGACAACAGTCATATGACCCACTGTAATAAATTTTAAAGGTTCCTTTCAGACCTGGATGGTTTAATTCTGGGTGTCCACACCTCGAGTTCGGTTTGTGTGCTGTTTCTAATGTGGGCAATGAAAGTTGCACACTTTCTCCTGCTAATTCATTATTAATTATCAACAATAATTATTGTTATTTATTAATTTTTAATGTAGTATTATAATAATACAGCCTATTGTGCCCCCTCAGTCTATTCACTGGGGGGGGGGGGGGCGCAGAGTGAAGGTCTTGATGCTCTGCAAACACCATCCACCAACAGCTCCCACAGCAGGTGGTTTCTGTGTTGTTGCAGTCAAGATCTAAAACTAAGGTGTGCGATACCAACAGCGAAGCTTCAGTTCACAGACCTGTTGTTCCAGATACTCTTGAAGAGGTTTAGTGCTTCTTGCAGCCGATTGGTCTGATTGTCCTCTCGTATAACCATGTTGTAGCTACTGCTCGCCACCACAAAGATGATAGCAGTCACATCTGAATCAAGAAATACCCATTAGCTAATACCAAACTTCAAAGAATTATCCAGGAACCCCACAGTTCAATAAAAAGCCATCAGCCTTTCAGCTTCAGGAGGAGAACAGGCTGAAATGCTATTGCTGACAGCTTTTCTAGGCAGAAAAAGAAAGTGAGCAAACATTAAAGATAGGAAAGTCAGGCCACAGAACAGAACCTGCCAGGATGACAGAAAATGTAGAAAAGAACAGAAGCGAGAGAGGGAAGCTGAAGAAAGCTAAGGGAATTTAAACAAGATTTAAAAGGTACAGAGAAATTTAGAAAGCAACTCCAAGCTCTCAAGAAAGGACAGGGAGGCCCTTGGGGGAAGACCTCAGGACAAATGGCACTTTTGATGTGCCTGAAGAGCAATACCAGCGGCAGCAGAGTGCTGGGAATTCCTGGTTAATCGCTCTAGTGCTCCTCTAGCGTCCTGCACCACTCAGAGGCCCCATCTCCTTCTGAGGAGATACTCCCAGGAGCAAAGAATCCCAATCTCTGTGTTTCTGCGTGCCTGTGCTGCCCCAGACCCCTCACCCTGACTTCCAGGCTCATGTGCCCAGACACCGAGAGCAGCAGCAAAGAGTCAGATCATCAGGGAACAGGAAGAGGAAGCAGCAGAGGTAAAACCCAAACAAATCTGTTATTAATAGCGCAGAAGAAAATACTGCACCGTAGTTCCACACACACACGAAGCGTTCAGGTGATATGCTGTGACAGTATCTGCAGCAAAATAAGAGGGATTCTAAAACGCATTCTACTTCACCTATGCTGTAGGACTTCTCTACAGCAAAGTAGATTTCGGCACAGCTTCACTAATACTTTGTCCAAACAACAAAGAAAAACCCAAACCCATTTTCACTAACGCCAGCTCTAAGAGAACTCGTGTGGAGAAAGGTTTCACATCTAAACAGCGATACTGAGTGACATAAACAGCTGTTGTGAACACGCCACACGCCAGGACACAGGCAAACCCACCGAATTTAAATGGTGTGGAAGGTAAGGGTAGGATCACCTGAACTAAACTGACGGGGAGACCCCTGCTCAGACTCCCGATCCCACAGAACGCCTGCAGAGGGTTCCGGTCCTGCCCGTGCCCCAGCGGGTGCTATGCACAAACCCACCAGCAAAGAAATCTAATTAAATTAGGAGAGGGAAGCAGAAGGAAATGGACAGGCTACGTTAAGTTATCAAACTTGAATTCCTTTCCACCTATGTTCTCCCTACAGATCTTCAATGTAGTTACAGAAGTTTACAGGTCAAGAAAAATTCCATCCCATGTGACTGTTCCGATAATTCCTTACCAAGCTACCCAGAAAAAGAAGACGGCTTTCACACAGTGAGGAAATTAAGATTGAGCATCAAAAGCTTGCAGAAACTATTTTATAAAACAAACATAAATTCTAATCATACCGTTAAAACACTGGATCCATTTTCGGCGTTCGTCTCGTTGCCCTCCAACATCAAACATACTGCGAAAAAACCATAAATCTAGTCAGAATACATTCTGTGGCTTGTTTTCTTCCCTCCCCTCCTCCCAACACCAAGAGAAAATGTAAGAAATTTTAAGGACTGCCATGTCATAAAAGCTCAAAGGAATTACGAGAACTCCAGCAGGTAACAGTGCCCCAACACAGGGAGGCAGAGCTCTCGTCGCAGAACATAATGACGTTTACTTTCACCACCACCTACACCTGCAGTCAGAAATTCTGGCGCGTATACGCTGCAGATTCATCTTCAGGCTCACAAGCCAACACATTAAAAAAGGTCCCACAACCAGTCATTTGCTCAAACAAGTATCACAGACCTAAAGACAACAAGACCAGACTAAAACTCAGCAGTTTTTGGTTGGGTCAAGTGACATTTCTGATCAGGGACAGTAAAGAGAACCTGCATTTTCTGTTACTTTGATACGTATAAAGTTTTTGGGCAAATACGTCACTATATAAACCAGCAACGTATCAAATACTCAGAAAAGCCATTAGTAAAAGTAGATTTAAAACACTTTGTTCTTTGCTATTTAAAATAAAAGCAGAAAACTGCAAATCAATTTGCATTTCTTTTTAGAGCCAGACTACTAAACTTAAAAAAAAAATAAATCAGAAAATACTTGCTTTCTACTAAGCATGAACTTGAGAAATAGAGGAGTCTCAGTGACTCCATGGCAGGGTGTCCTCCAACCTACCCTGGTATTTGTCTGCATTGTACTAAAAAAGAAAAAGAAGGAAAAAAAAGCATACTTACTGAAAATTTACTTTATCCACCTGAAACTTGGTTTCAAAAATTCCTGATGTCAAAACTCTGCATCTGAGAAGATCCTGGGGCATAAAGAAAGAGTCACTGATTCAGCATGGATATTTCATCGTTCTTTATGTATTTGACATTCTTTATGCAGGAATAAAGCCCTTTTGCCCAGCGCTGCGGTGCATTCCGTACTGCAAAGCCGCGTGCAGAGCATTACCAAGCTGCGTTACTGATGGGTAGAAAGTCAGGAATACACGTGTGATTTTGGATTAGGGATTTGGTCCTGAAAAGATCCTCAGGTGCAACAAAAAGAAAACTACAATTCTGATTAAAAAATAAAACCTTCTAACAAGGGTATTTTTACAAGACCTGGCTTGTAGTGGGAGCCAGAGAGGCTGAGAAGAGTCAACTTTGCATCAAAGGAAGTGTATGACCGTCACTCAGCGAGGAGGGCGCAGTATTTTAAGTTGCTCATTCAAATGGATATTTGAGTTTTCCTGTCACAGAAGCACGATCCAAGTCTTGACTCCAGGCAGATTTTCCTCTCACAACATATTTACATGTATAACCATCATCTCAATCCAGATGACAAAGTAGTTTTTCCTGGAATGCTAAACGTGCACAGTACACACTAATACCTGTATTACTGCCACGAACGGCAGCTAGAAAATTAGTGAGATCGTTCTCCTCAAAGACGCAGAGGACAGATAAATTGTGTCATTTCTTACTAAAACTCCGCATACCTGGTCAGACGGCGTGTACTCGTTCTGTTTGACTATGTCAATCTTGTCTAGAAAACTGGGGGGAGAAAAGAAAAAAAGTAAGTTTTCATTCTCAGATCGGACCAACCAGCAACCGACAGCTTCCTAGGTCAGGTTTGTTATATTTTAACGCGCGTGGATTCACAAAATGCTGAACCCTGAAACCGTGCATTTCCCAGCTGCCCCAGCAGAGGGGCCAGAGCCCCGGGTGATTTAATATCGCGGCTGGTCACCTCCCTCCAACCCCCACTGCTCCCTCCACTAACTAACATACACGTAGTTTAACTGAGGTAGTTTATTCATAGAAATTGTACAGTCTGCTACTTCTAACAGTAAAGCAATGACTCAAACTGCCTGCATGGAATTCTCCTCCAAGTAAGATGAATATTTTAAAAAAAGTTTAATCCTCACTATCATTTCTTTAATAAATGAAATCCTTAAAGCACTTTCATTACAAGTTCAGTTTAGTGAGGGGAAACAGTGCTTTTTTTCTGTCTATTGTTGGCACCAGTTTTTCAGTTTACTTTCTGGAGAAGTAGCATTAGCAGGCCAAACGGGTATAAAAAGATGCAATTTCATCCAAATTCATTGGGCATTACCTAAAGAGGATATCCTGCAGCCTTTAGCATGTTTTTACCAATTAACCATAAGCTCCTTATTACCTTCCGCTTCAACTCAAAGAGCAAAAATCTCAAGGAACCCATTTGTTAAGTCTGTGGGTTTATTCTGTGGGGTTACTACAGGATTCTACGATTCTATCTGAAGCTGCAACGGGGGAGGCGGCAGCCCCGGGACGCAGCCGTGCCACCGCTGACACCCTGTCGCCCCGTCCCACGGCGAGTGCGCCGCAGGGCCACCTCCCGTCCCAGGGCCGTGAGGAGATCCAGCGACTCTCCCACAGCTCTCCTTACCCGTAACATCCACGATCAACCACAGTGTTAAACCCAATATGCTTTAAGTTTCCTGCTCAACTCCTTCGCACAAATTCTTTGCGAAGCAGAAGTCACACAGAAAAGGTGAGTTTTCCCTTCTGATCCCCGCAGGCAGGTACGTACGCCCAAAGTGCGTGACCTACGGTCATGGGCAACGATTTACAGGGGTTGGAGGGAGGGAAATGAGCTACATCCCCCATTTACATATCAGAAACCCCCCCCCCCTTCAAATCACCAAGGGCCTTAGTCCTCAGGTTGCCAATTAACTTTCTAGAACACTGAATGAAGGGCAGGGGAAGGAGGAAAAATAATTGTATGTTTTAACAGTGGCTGCAGCGTAATGCCCTTTTCACCAGGAACTAGATAACTAGAGACGTTTCAGAAACAAATGAAAGTAATTTTTGTTCAGTCTGAAATACACAATTTGTAACACATTAAAGCCTATCTTACTACGGCTGCTACTAAAAACAGGAGACAAAGTGTAAAGATCAATTTCCATCGCAAAAGGTGACGTGGAGACGGCTATACGAGGATAAAACTGAAGATAAAATGTGTACTGCAATTTCTCCTCATTTCGTCCACGCCGTTAAGTAATTTTTATTTTTATTCCAAAGGAAAAGCAGTAAAGCTCTTTGCCCAGCACACAGAAGACAAATATGTACAAAAAGCTCTGAATTCCAAATGGCACGAGCGTTGCCACACTATATTCTCTCCTAAGACCACAGTTTCCAAATCATGTGGCAATTTCACGAGCTGGAGGACACTTGAAAAACGTTCAGAACAGAACACGTTCATAAAGATTTAAAGGTGATGACTACAGTGACCCAGCCTTTCTGTACCGAATTTATCTAATCACGACATTCTCTGCAAGGTTCCACAAGAGGTAGATTTTTGAGCTTGGGTTTTTTTGGGTTTGTTTTTAAACACTCTGCTAATCAGCTTAATGGATTTTGGAAACTGACAATTAGAAAATAACAACAAGATATTGCTAAAACCTGGAACTGAAAGTACAAACCTCTTAGTGTTGTTTATGCAGACTATTTTTAGGTCTCTGATTTCCTTGAAAAACATCAGGCACACAGGAGCAGCAGTACTGTACTTGAGATGAATTCCAACAGCAGCAGCCATGCCAGGTAAAACAAGTTCGAATGGAATAAATGTTTCTCCTTCTCCCCTCAAAAACCCCCAAGTTCTAACATTCAGTAACATCTGATACTCTATTGAAGAAGGAAATCTGTCACTGTGTGACAGTTACCACAAACCTACCCCATTTGCGGTGGCATTTTGGGGAAAATGGAGCAAAGCAAGACATTAAATGAAGATTTTCTGCTGTGCGTGATGTGTCGCATCAAAGTCTACACTCGCAACTTCAGAAAGGGCTAAAGACATTAAACATCACTTTGATTTTTTAATTCAAAGATAAAGAAAGGGGATTATTCCTTCAGCTGGTCAACTGAAAAATAAATGTGGTCTGATACACCTAAACAAAGGAGCAACAGTGGGAGCAGGAGAGTTCAGAAAAGATCAATCCACAGCGTTCCAAGACTTCTAAGTCGATGTTAGTCAAGACCAAATCATTTATCCAGTAAATTAAACTCACAATCGAGTCAGATGAGAACAAAGCCTGATTCAAACTAAAAATAAATTCACCATCATTAATTTCTATTTTTAATTCTCGTTATGCTTTACCCAAAACACAAGTGAGGCCACTCCAGCACTGCTGCGTGCCCTGAACTCGCCGCCGTTATACACTGTTCTAAGGCTACTGGAGATTTGCCCGTCTACTGTGCCAGCAACGCATTTCACAGGGAGAAAGAAAAGTGACCTTGGTGAAATAATTCAAGTAAAACTGTCAAACCACGAAAGCAAATTTTCTTCTGTGAGCAAGTCTCGCATCAAGTTATGGAGTCAGTTCTTTTCTTCTGTAAAATTTTCCCAGAGATTATATGCGAAAGCTATTTTCCAGAAAGCAAATAATTCATTCAGCATCGCTGCCAATTCTCACTTAGGACCGAACTCTGGACATAACCAAGTAACAGGATCAGTTCTTGCTCTGGAAAATACCGTCACTTAGTATAAGGCACTTTTGCCTGTACTATAGAACTTCAGAACTGATACAACACATGTTAAAAACAAAACAAGTAGCTCTGGACCATTTGCAGTCAGCACCACCAGAGAAGCATCTCTAGGACAGCAGCAGAAGTGTCCCTGAGATAGTACAAGGAACAGTATTAATAAAAATGCAAGCCAATAATTTTTTTCTTAAAAAGCGCTCTATTTTGGGGTCCCTCTCTTCATCTTGGGGAAGGAAAAGCACAGGGCAAGGCAAGTCACAGGTTGTTGTGAAGAATCAAGTGGGTTTAACTGCACGGGCTGCGCTGGGGAGGCAGATTTCACACCGGGAGATGCACCGAAGCTTCCCTTGGCTCCAGCCGGTCAGAGTAATTAAGTCATACACATAGCCCCGATTCTTTCCAAACTTCTAATAAGCCCATTAGGTCAAAAACACGCTCGCATTTTCAGATCAAGATATATGCCAGTTACTGATTTATTCTGGAGGTCCTTCATACAGAGGGAGCTGGTTTACCCCCATGTGGGGGAATTCCCTGACCGAACAACGCTGCTGCCACACTACGAACTGCAGCCTGTCCTCATTTTTCCCCTCCGAAAAGGTACAAAATACATTAATCTTCCACCTCAAGAAACAACATGACTGCACCGTGTGGGGAAGAACAGGGAGGGGGAAATCAGACTGCCTTCCTTTGAGCATTTCCTGACAGTCCTTTCAATAAACAGGAGCTTAAAATTTTACTCTGGGATCTGATGAAATGGCTGGCAGATACGAAATCTCTTTTTTGCTTTGTGAGAAAGACCTTTTGTTTTAGGTCTGCAACACTGGAAAGGTCTCTGCAAACTGACAACACACCTATATTTGAAGATCTTAATTTTTTTTTTTTTTTGAAAAGTCATAACCTGAATTTGTTTACATAATGTTCCTTTTAAAAAAGACACATGAAGAGCTCATCAGCAAGACACTGCGAAGCAAGAAGTGAAAATTGCCATCTCCTCGAAATACGACATTTGTTTATACCTTACAACCCTCCACAGCAGTACTGGAACTGTGTATTTGCGAAGTTTCTTGCCTCGGAAAGCCTCCAGGTATTTTACAGCGAGGAAATCACACTCACAGCTCCCGCCTGCCTTGATTCGGGCTGCGTTTCCTGCCTCTGCCGCCCCTTCCTGCGCCGCACACCTCACCTGAACCCTGGGCTAAAGGTAGGCACAGCGGGAGCAAGCTGATTGCCCAGAGTCCCCTGAGTCAGGGGAAATGGAATTTTCAGTTCCTCTGAGTCATGTGTTTTTTTAATCAAGAAATTACTAAGAATCAGCCAGAACGTTACTAAGAATTATCAAGATTTTACTAAGAATCAATGTTGCATTTAACCCGATCACCTCTAAAACAGTCTCTACAATTCAAGCGTCTCCATTCGAAAAGAAATCAGCATTTGTTTACTGAGCTTCTTAAAGACCAAACTGTGCAAACGTTCATCGGATTTTTATTTACCTGTCTATACCCTATCCGGACTACAAAACTAACTCAAAGCTCCGCAAAGTAGTTTTAAGCTGAAATTTAACTCCACATTATTTACAAATAAGAGTGTATTTTCACTTCTCAGAACAGATCATGCTGTACAGCTGCTTCAGTCCGTTTTCAGTCCTCGCCACAATCCTTTATGTCATTCAGAAAGAGTTTTCTAAAAGCTAAACGGCCAAATATTTGATAAATTTTTTCTTTAGCTATTTTGTCTGTGCTGAAGCCAGAGTCACAGGATTATTACAAAGATCTAATATTCTCTTTAAAAGGGTATTTGAGCCGAGAAAGGTACGATGTGTGTCCTGTAACTTCCACACAGTTTAAAAACATGTTAATAGAGGCAAGTTTTTCAAAGCTGGGAAAGCCAAGGGCTGTTACACTGTCAAACTGTGACTTCCCAGGCAGGCCAACACGCTCCAATTTTCCAGAGTTTTCAGCTGCGAGCAGGCACGTACACATCGACTGGCCCTCGAGCCTGCGCCTTTCTGCTGCTCTTGGGAGCAAGCAAGA